TTTTTTTCTGGTCGGATTACTTCATCCCACTGTGTTCCATGTTGTCTGTCCAAAAGTTCTTCATTCTCTTCTTCATGATATTTAAAAGTTCTTTTAGTATATGGCAAGTTTCTGTCTTGCGTGAGAAGTTTTTTATACTTCTTTGGCTTTCATCATTACGCCACCGAAGGTGACAGCTATCAATGTTTTTGATCCATCTCACCCAGTGGAAAATGACACCCAACACTGAATCACCACGATTCTGGATGCCAGAAACATCTCACGCATAGCAGCTTGCTCGGACCTTAATATAATGGCCATTGTCCCCGCATCATCTAAAGTCTGTAGTTTCATGTTTTGAAGCATGATTTGTTGACCATTTTTCGCGGCCATCTTTTGAAATTGTGAGCTTTCTGTCTGTTACAAATCTGGATGTTTTTCTGCGTTCGATGTTGATGTAGTGAATCGCTTTCAAGGTGTGGATCACCGGCTTACCAAAGCTTGATCGGCAAGAACATTATGATCAAGGCCCTTACGCCGTTATCCTGGCTCCAACCAGAGAGTTGGCACAGCAGGTTAGTGTGTTTGTTGGAGTTGCTCCTTTTATCTTCGATCACCTTCAGATCGAAGAAGAAACTAACAAGTTCGGAGAATTGCTAAAGATCCGTACCGTTTCTGTTATTGGAGGTGCTTCACGTGAGGACCAAGGAATGAAACTGCGCATGGGCGTAGAGGTATGCATCTCGTATTCATTTACTATCATCTACTTTACTTACTTTGAATAGTGATTTTTTAGGTTGTGATTGCTACACCTGGACGTCTTCTCGACGTGCTGGAAAACCGATATCTTCTGCTAAATCAGTGTTCATATGTAATTCTTGATGAGGCAGATAGAATGCTTGATATGGGTTTTGAACCTGAAGTGCAGAAGGTTCGTAAAATTTCCCTGTTGTTGTCTCTATTCTCCATCCAGCCTAAAGTATTCGTAAAATTCAGGTTTTGGGATACTTACCAGTGTCTAATCAAAAGCCTGATACCGATGACATAGAACACGAAGAAGCTCTGATGAATAATTTTGCAACGAGAGAAAAATATCGCCAGGTTCTCTCTTTTTTTCTCGTTTTATTTTCTTTGCAATTTGTAGCATTAGTGTAAGCGGCACTCGTCGTGGGGTTCCATTTTCAAACAAAAAAAAA